AAAAAAAATGAAAAAATTAAAAATTTATTTAAATGAAACAGTGAAGATAATATTGAAGTTAATTTATTCATTTTTCTAGTAGGAGTGAAATCAATTGTTCCTAGTTGCAGATCTTGTATTGCAGAACGAGTATCACATAAACGAGTAAAACATCATTGTTATTAGAAAAACGATCTTCTTCAATCTATATGTCATTCTCATACAATTATTCAGATCTGTAATTAATACCTAAACACGTAACACCTACGCATAAGTACATTACAAACAGAAACACAGTACAATAACCTCTTGCTGTACGTTTCTTAACATAAACTACGAACTAAATCACACGAATAATACTGTAAATTACCCTGAATATACACTATCTAGCCTGCTGTAACTCAAACTTCTTTCAATTTTGTAAAAATAATAACTTTTTAACGTTAAAAATGCCATGTGAATGATTGTTTAACGACAAAAACGGAAAAAGGAGAAAAATAGCTGATAATTCGTCATATACACACACGCGCACACATACGTATATGTATATGTACGTACGCACTAACATTCATTCGAGGAGTCAAGAAAATGAAAATATAAAAAATAAATGTCTATAAATACAATATACATTTGTGAAGAGGTAACAACAGTTTACAGAAAATTGATTCTAGGCTGGTATTCAACTAAATCGTACGAAAATAATCGATTCACCATGACCTCGAGATCCCTTTGTCGTCATTTCTTTCTTTTTCATATTATACATACATATAGTATTAAGCCACATGTTCATTTTCTATTTTTTTCGTTTTTGTACACATTTTCTTCCTTCTCAATTTTGTTAAATCGTGATACGCGCGGAATTCCATGAAAAATATCCTATCTAGAAGTGGTAGAATTTCGTTTATGGTAGTGGAAGTCGCCTCGCTGTTTCCGCGACTTTTTGCGAATCTGTGTTCTCGGTGTTGCTCTCGTTGTTATTGTTATTATTATTGTTACTGTTGTTCTTGTTCTTCTTCTCTTCTGCTTCGGTTTCCGTTTTCCGGGCTTGCATATAGTTGTTCAGGTACTCCACCACATCCATGTGGCCGAATGTCTTCGCCTCGTCGATGGGCTTCTTTCCCCACCTGAGAATACAATAGATTTCTTTTTTTTAATTAATGCTTCAATTTCTTAATTAAATTTCAAATGTTAATCATCCTTTGAGTAAAGAAATTTGTTGGGTTTTGTAATAAATTGAAGTTCCGGAATTTCGTAGAATTACTTATTTAAGGTCCTCAATTTTGCAGAATTAGTTATTTGAATTCCTCAATTTCGAGGAATGAATTATTTAAGGTTCTTAATTTCGTAGAATTACTTAAGTATTTGAGGCCACCAACTTCGTAAAATTACTTATCCGAGGTCTTCAATTTCACAGAATTGCTTATTTGACGTTCCGAATTTCATAGAATTTAAGAAGAGGTAAAGAATACCTCAGTCCCTATCGTTTATTAGACATTACATTTACCTGTCTGCAGGATCGTATGGAACTGCACACTGCTCGATCAAAAATTTCACACAATTCAGGTGTCCCTCACAGGCAGCCAGGTGCAAAGCTGTTCTGCCATCATAATCCGAGAGGGTCATGTCCATTCCGCTCAGTCGATGCCTAAAATTATGATAAAACTTAAGAAAACTATCCACCTCGATTTTTCACTATCATTAATTATTCCTATTTTTCAATTTTTTATTCAAGCAGCAGAAATAATTTAGATGTTAGTTATAAGTGAGACACCTTGTATATGTATACAGGGTGAGGCACCTAAAACAGGCCACTTAAATATCTTGGCTGTTATTGGTGATAGAAAAAAAAGTGTCAGAGCAAACTTGCTTAGTGTCGAAAAGCGCATAATTTATATAGTATTATATAATATAATTTATATTTATATATCGCTCATATAAAGTAAATTATTTTCCTTTTCTGTTGACCTTCAGTGACCTTGAATGATCTTGAACCATAGGTCATTGTACGCGTCTTAAAACGCTCTACTCGATGATACGTAAAAAAATATATCGTTCCATTTGAAAAAAAAAATGAAGTTCACATTCATATGACCTCTACGCCTCCACCTATAAAAAAAGAACTATTTACATCAAATCATGTGCCCCTCAACACACCAAGCAAGTTTGATTTAACACATTTCTTTCCATCACCAATAACAGCCGAGATATTCAGATGGCCTGCCTTGTTTTAGGCGCCTCACTCTGTATATTAATAGGGAAAAATTCAAAATTTGCGTAATAGAAAGCTGAACAAAATGAAGAATAATATTGAAGATACTCCGAATCGTTGAAACGTAAAAATAGCACATTTAAAGTGTGAAAAATCTAAAAATATCTAGGCGATAATGTAATTAACAATGCATCGATTAACCTTCGCATCGCCGTTACGTCGCCACTGCCAGCGCTGAAGAGCAGATTAACAATAGACAGTCCTTTCGTCTCGTATTTATGCCGCCTCGGGTCCTTCTTATTTGTCGCGTGCTTCATATTATCGTACCTGTGATCATAGTAGGTGCTACACTAATCGGGATGGGATGGAAAACGACGGGATACCAACGAACACAGATGACGTAGAAGAGACGTCGGCGGAATAGTGTTTGTTCGGTTTTGGATTGATTTCGTGCGGGGTGTTGCGTGTAGCAGGGGGTTGTGAGAAAAGCAAAGGAGGGAGAACAAACAGTTTGATTAATGTGTGTTACCACTGATACCGAGATAATCGCGATTAAACTCATAAGCAAGAATTAACATTTAAAGGGCGACTTATACTCTTCTCTTTTAGTTACGTACTTATACACAGTGGGTACAAACAAGTACTCGAAGTAGAAATTATTACATTGAATAATTTCATATTTTATTAGTATTCACATTTCCTAAATTTTGCCCTTCGTTCTCTTGGTATGAAAATTCTTCAATTCGATTGATTGATTGATTGATTAATTAATTAATTAGTAAAAACAGAAATAACGATACTTTTTGCGCACACTGTACTTGAAATTCTATTTACAAAAATAGCAATAAAAGAAAAAAAGTGAATCTATTGGATTTTTCTCTTAGACCAATTGTAAGTTTCGTGTATCTGTAGCAAACTAATATTGTCTTTCTTTCACTAACTATTACTGTGCAGAGAGTAGCTAAGTGTCAGTTGTATCTATGCAAGCACGCTAAAAGAACGAATAACATACGTACCTGTGAAAGTTGAATTCAGAGACGAGTTCCTCGCAGAATTGAACACCTCGACAGGAGTTTCCAAGGGGGTCTAATGGTGGAGACCACGTACAAATGCCCATTACATTGGGAATCACTACTAAGAGGCTTCCTGACACACCAGATTTCGCTGGAATGCCAACCTGTAATCAGTGATACACTTTTTTTTATCAATATTGTCATAGACTGTAACAATTGAGTTAATAAAATTGTACAATTTTATAATTAAAATTAAATTCAAATGAAATTAAATCGTTCAATTGAAATTTCATTAAATCGCATTTAAAAATTAAAAATTGTTTAATTAAAAATGAATATTAATTTAAATAAATTAATATTGAAATTAAAAAATTTT